GGGTGAGGGTGAGGGTGAGGGTGAGAAGGGGCCGCGTGTGGGTGGGCGGTTGGCGGGAGCCGGCCGCGGATGGACGGAGAAGGGAGGAGGCCTCTCCGTGGCTATATTTATTGACCGTGTGTATGTGTGTGTGTGTGTATATGTATATATGTATGTATGTGTGTGTACATATATATTATTTTCATATTATATATATATATATATGGTAAGGGCTACCTATAAATGCAAAAAACGACAGAGAGGCCTTTTTTTTTGTTTTAATTCCTCGATGAAGATCTCGAACTTTAGTCTTTCCGCTATAGACCGACAGGTCTAAACGGTAAAGATTTAACTTCCTATTTATTTACTTCATTTATCTTTGCATTTATTTAGTCAGTTTATCTTTGCATTGGTTGGCTTAATTTGCCTTTGTGTTCCTTTCCTTAATTTATTTTCGTAGTGTACACATTTCCTTAATTTATTCTTGTATGTGTTTACTTCACTTATCTTTGTGTTTGCTTCGCTTATTTTTGTATTTGTTTGCTTCGTTTTTCCTTGTGTTTATTTCCTTGATTAATCTTTGTATGGATTTCCTTGATTTATCTTTGTTTGGATTTCCTTCATGTATCCTGGTATGTGTTTACTTAATTTGTCTTTGTATGGGTTTACTTATTTTTATTTATTTACTCTGCATCAGTAAGTAGACATCACAAATATGCAAGGTAGATTGATGGAAGCGATTTCAATTTATTCCAGCTGATAGCCGGGCATAGATGGAAGTAAACAGCAGAGTTACGGCTTTATTTCTGTAAACACAGGCAGAGCGCAGAGGTGCTCGTACATGCGATCCATAGCGATGCAGCAGTAGCACGTGCTGTGTTTATTATTGTTATCATTATCCAGTATCTTTCCCGCCCTTCCTTCCAAAGTTGCAAAAGATGGCATAGGTGGTTTCATTACCTCATCCCCCACCCCCAGGCCCTGCCTTGTCCTCACAACAACCCGGTAGGCATTTAAAGCTTAAATGAAAGCTGATTCCCCACAGCTTTCCGCCACAGTCCAGGGCAAAATGGCTGAGTCTGCACCCCACTGAACCACAAGCTACTCACCCCTGTTTTAGCCTAGTGTCTTCTGCAAGCTTAGTCTGCGCTACATGGTACCATGTGCTCTATGAACACAGAAAACTGGGATCATTCAGTAAGCCATGACTTAAGTTAAACATAGGTAACTGTGTTGTGTGAACAGAGCCTAGAAATTGCTATTTTTTCTACTAAGCGGACCAAGTTTAGCTGTGCAATGCTAACATTTGACACAGGAGAAGAATGGCATTACATCTTTCCTGGGCTTTCATTTGTGGATGCGTTTCCTCCCAACCCCAGATGATCCTGAATTTGTCTTTGGCTTTGTTACCAAGTGAAACAACTGTAATTCTCTGCATTCTTGATATCTCTTGTTACCTACAGCCAAGGGATCTCTGTACCTTACATAAGATAGACACTTTGGATATTTTTTCATCCCCAGAAATGAGGAATTTACAATCATTGGTTAGTTCTTTCCCAGAAAACGTTGGGAGAGATTTAGAACAGCTGTATTTTGTTCCCAGTAAGTTGTAATCTGCATGTCTGGAGGTTCTCACATGCTCACATGGAAAAGTATAAATTGGTAAAGACTCAGCTTGAGGATCAGTGATTCCCACTCCCATCCCCCGATTTTCATCCTAGTCTGCCTTTATTGATTTATTTGATGGGATTGTATTATGCGCCTGTGCCCTCATCTGATTTTGCAAAACCTTCAAAATATTCTCACTGTGATCATCTTTATTTGTACTTCATTGTATTTTCCACTAGTATATATAATGATGTTGAACAGATAGTCTATAATTACATATATTGTTGAGGCAGAATTCTCCAGAGAAACAGAATGAGTTTGTAATGTTTCTATTGTGATGGAAACTGTAGGGTGTCATTCTTTATCTGAGCTCTACAAAAAGAAACTTAAGTTTGTTGCACGTTCTCCTATTTTGGAGTCTACTGTAACCTACAGGAGATCATGTGATGCTTTTGAGCAGAGCAAACAACCTTTCCAAATAAATCAAGCTAGTGATACACCAAAGGGAAATACAAAAATATATTAGCCTGTCACATCAGCCTTGTAATTATGTTCTCAAAAATTAATAACCTGATACAAAAACAAAAAATGGCAGAACAGGAATGGAGAATTCTACCTGATGTCCCCCAGATGTTTTAGAGTTTATGGCCCAGACAAAGAAATGGAGAAATGGTAGTGTAAAATATCTGGAAGACACCATATTTCTTATATCTCCTGTGGGAAATTTTTTCTTGTAAAAAATGTTAATTGTGGACAAGTCCATTTAACCCCGTACTCTGTTGCTATTTTGGCATTCTACCATAACAACATAAGGGCAATTATGGGAAAGTGTTTAAGTATATGTAGCCAATGAACATGTTAATTTCATGAAGCAAAGCAAAATTTTTAAGGGACTCTTGAACATTTCTACTTTTTTCTTTTTCATAATGCAGTAATAATTTGGAAAAAAACAACTTAAGTGGCTTATCATTGTGAAAGTTGTCAGATGTAAATTTTGTTCTGGAAATATTTTGTAAGCGATTGTTTTTCATAACAAGACTTCTCTTTTAATTTAGAGGCTAAAATGTCCTCATGGGTCAAAGCAACCACAGATCAAGCACAAACACCTGATCCTGAAAAAAGGTAAAAATAGAATGATCTGTGTTCTTTTTCTTATAGTCTTTTTTAAAATGTTACAATCTCAGATCCACATTTTTGTAGTGGAAAGATTTTAATGCATTGTAATACTTTTTTTTTTTTTAACATTCAGTTTAGAGGCTTAATTATCTTTTCATTTAAAAATATTGTAACCTATGCTTGTTGGATACTGTTGAACTAAATACATTGACCTTTGCATTTAATAATATAAGATATAATCTCACTAAATCATTAAGAATTATGTGTGAAATGTAGCATTTTAAATTTGCATTATATCCTGGTTTCCTTCTTTGTTATGGTCGGTGGTTACATTTGCTGCTAATGGCTTGTTCATATTCACAGCTAATCCCACTTAGCATAAACTATCTGTGTGCCTATGTGTGGTGTATTTGTTCCTTGTTTGTTTTTCTGTTCATGTGAATAAATGCCTAAGACAGGAAATTGTGCGTCCCCTCTAAGCCAGCATCCTAGTTTGTTTGCTTATTTATTTATTCAATTTGTATGGTTGCCCATCTCAGCAAATGATTCTGGGCTTCTTGTCCCCAAGTGAGCTCGTATTTCCAATATAGCACCAACGCTTAGCTTACATTTCTGTTTTTCAACCCGGACTCCAGTTCAGCTGTAAAATGGGGATACTTGGGTTATACCTTTCCCATTTGTGGAAGCACAGAAACAGTGAAGCAGGCACAGCACGTGCTCTGGCATAATGCTGTTTTCAGTATACCAAGATTATCCAGGAATTCTGGTTTGCCAATATGTACATGCCCAGCCATTTGTTTTTTCTTACGTTTATAGAGAGGAAATTATTACTAACCCAAGTGTGACTGGGGTGTGTGTTCTGTTCATTACCCACAACAAAACCTTAGCCGCAGAACATTGCAGAACTGACAGAACTCACTGAGTATTTTAAGCCAGTGACTCTCAAATTCAAGAGTTCTCAAAGAATTGTTTTTGAGATAAAGTTAGAAGAGACTCTCTGTGAGCTGCCTTGAGCTTCTGTAGAACAGGTGAGATGTAAATGCAATAAATAATACCATCAAAATGTTAGGCAGAGAAACCATTTCAAAGCAATATTGCCACCTAGGCAATTAATCCGGCTGCCTCATTAAATCAGATCGTTGTTTATGCTGATGGGCAGCAGCTGTTTAGTTTTCAGACTAGTGTCTTTTTCCCAGACTTTCTGGAAATGGCAAAGATTGAACCTGAAACATTTGCATGCCAAGCTTCCCGGCTTCACAGAAATGACCGGGGGTCTAGTGATGACTGCCTGCCTGCCTGCCTGCCTGCCTGCCTGCCTG